TTTTTTTTTTTTTCTCAGGGATAAATCAAATTTCCAGGACCAAATTCCTAAAGAAATCCAAGGATTTTTCCAGGGTTTTTACTTTGGAAGTCAAAATTTTTTTCCCTTTACTTTTTTAGATTTTTTTTAGATTTTTCCCATTCTTTTTTAGATTTTTCCCTTTTTTTTTTTTAAGGATTTTTCCCTTTTTTTTAAGGCTTTTCCCCATTTTTTTCAGGATTTTTCCCATTTTTTAAAGGGTTTTTCCCTATTTTTTTTAAGGAATTTCCCTTTTTTTTTTTATGATTTTTCCTGGCTTTTTTTAGGACTTTTCCCATTTTTTTCTCTTTAGATTTTCCCCATTTTTTTAGGATTTTTCCCCCATTTTTTTAGGATTTTTCCCAATTTTTTTTCAGGATTTTCCCCATTTTTTTTGAATTTCCCCCATTTTTTAATAATTTTTTTTTTTTTTTTTTAGATTTTCCCCATTTTTCAAAGATTTTTCCCCATTTTTTTAATGGATTTTCTCCATTTTTTAAATGGATTTTTCTAATTTTTTAATGGATTTTCCCCATTTTTTTTTCATGGATTTTTCCCCATTTTTTAAATGAATTTTTTCCCATTTTTTTTTAATGGATTTTTCCATTTTTTTTTTTAAGGATTTTTCCCTTTTTTTTAGGACTTTCCCTTTTTTTTTATGGTTTTTTTCCCACTTTTTTCAGGATATTCCCCATTCATTTTTTTGATTTTCCCCATTTTTTTAGGATTTTCCCCATTTTTAAAGATTTTTTCCTGTTTTTTTAGCATTTTTTGTGTTTTTTTAAGATTTTTCCCCATTTTTTTAGGATTTTTCCTGGGTTTTTTTTAGGATTTTTCCAATTTTTTTAGGATTTTCCGAATTTTTTTTAGGATTTTCCCCATTTTTTTAATAGAATTTTCCCCATTTTTTTAGGATTTTTCCCCATTTTAAAAGAATTTTTCCTGGTTTTTTTTTAGGATTTTTTGAGCTTTTTAAAGGATTTTCCCCATTTTTTAAGGATTTTTGCTGGTTTTTTTAGGAATTTTTCCCACTTTTTTTTAGGATTTTTTCCCATTTTTAAGAATTTTCCCTTTTTTTTAGGATTTTCCCCATTTTTTTTAGAATTTCCCAATTTTTTAATAGGATTTTCCCAATTTTTTAGGATTTTCTCCAATTTTTTAGTGATTTTCCCCATTTTTTTCAGGATTTTCCCCATTTTTTTAGCACTTTTCCCAACTTTTTTTGAGGATTTTTCCCATATTTTTAAAAGATTTTCCTTTTTTTTTGATTTTTCCTGTTTCTGTTAGGACTTTCCCAATTTTTTTTAAGATTTTCCCCATTTTTTTTAGGATTTTCCCAATTTTTTTTCAAGATTTTCCCCATTTTTTAAGGATTTTTCCCCATTTTTAAAGATTTTTCCTGTTTTTTTAGCATTTTTTGTGTTTTTTTAAGATTTTCCCCATTTTTTTAGGATTTTTCCCTATTTTTAAGAATTTTTCCTGGGGTTTTTTAGGATTTTTTGTGTTTTTTTAGGGTTTTCCCCTTTTTTGGGGGGGATTTCGCCCATTTTTTTCAAGATCTTCCCCATTTTTTTAGGAATTTTCCATTTTTTAGTGATTTCTCCATTTTTATGATTTTTCCCTATTTTTTTTCAGGATTTTCCTCATTTTTTTTAGGATATACCTCAATTTTTCAGGAATTTCCCTATTTTTTTGGGGGATTTTGCCCATTTTTTTCAAGATTTTCCCCATTTTTTTAGGATTTTTCCATTTTTATCAGGATTTTCTCCATTTTTATGATTTTTCCCCTTTTTTTTTTAAGGATTTTCCCAATTTTTTTTGAATTTCCCCCATTTTTTAATTTTTTTTTTTTTTTAGATTTTCCCCATTTTTCAAAGATTTTTCCCATTTTTTTTTTATGATTTTTCCAATTTTTTAGGATTTTCCCATTTTTTTTAATGATTTTTCCTGGTTTTTTTTAGGACTTTTCCCACTTTATTTTTTTTTAAGATTTTCCCCATTTTTCAAAGATTTTTCCCCATTTTTTTATGGCTTTTCCCCATTTTTTAAAATGGATTTTCCCCATTTTTTTTAAGGATTTTTCCAGGTTTTTTTAGGACTTTTCCCACTTTTTTTTTTTTATATTTTTCCAATTTTTTCAGGACTTTTCCCCATTTTTTTTAGGATTTTCCCTTTTTTTTTTCAGGATTTTCCCCATTTTATTTTTTAATTTCCCCCATTTTTTAATATTTTTTTTTTTTTAGATTTTCCCCATTTTTCCAAGATTTTTCCCATTTTTTTAATAATTTTTCCTGAGTTTTTTTAGGACTTTTCCCACTTTTTTTTCTGTTTAGATTTTTCCCATTTTTTAATGAATTTTTCCAATTTTTTTAATGAATTTTTCCCATTTTTTAATGGATTTTTCCAATTTCTTTTATGGATTTTTCCAATTTTTTTTTATGGATTTTCCCCATTTTTTTAATGGATGTTTTTCCCATTTTTTTTAAGGATTTTTCCCATTTTTTAATGATTTTTCCTGGGTTTTTTTAAGACTTTTCCCACTTTTTTTTTTAGATTTTCCCCATTTTTTTAGGATTTTCCCCATTTTTTTTTAAAGGATTTTCCCCATTTTTTTAAGGACTTTCCCAATTTTTTTTTATGATTTTTCCTGGCTTTTTTTAGGACTTTTCCCATTTTTTTCTCTTTAGATTTTCCCCATTTTTTTATGATTTTTTCCCCATTTTTTCAAGATTTTTCCCCTTTTTTTTTTTCAGGATTTTCCCCATTTTATTTTTTAATTTCCCCCATTTTTTAATAATTTTTTTTTTAGATTTTCCCCATTTTTCAAAGATTTTTCCCATTTTTTTAATAATTTTTCCAGGTTTTTTTAGGACTTTTCCCCCTTTTTCTTTTTTAGATTTTCCCAATTTTTTCAGGATTTTTCCCTTTTTTTTTTCAGGATTTTTCCCAATTTTTTTTTTTTAATTTCCCCCATTTTTTAATAATTTTTTTTTTAGATTTTTCCCCTTTCTTTTTAAGGCTTTTCCCATTTTTTTAATGATTTTTCCTGGTTTTTTTTAGGACTTCTCCCACTTTATTTTTTTTTAAGATTTTCCCCATTTTTCAATGATTTTTTCCCTATTTTTTATGGCTTTTCCCCATTTTTTTAATGGATTTTCCCCATTTTTTTTATGGATTTTTCCAATTTTTTTAATGGATTTTTCCCATTTTTTTTAAGGATTTTTCCCATTTTTTATGGATTTTCCCCATTTTTTTTAAGGATTTTCCTTATTTTTTTTTAAGGATTTTCCCTGGGTTTTTTTAGGACTTTTCCCACTTTTTTTTCTTAAGTTTTTCCCATTTTTTTTCAAAGATTTTTCCCATTTTTTGATGGATTTTTTTTCCTTTTTTTTTAAGGATTTTTCCCATTTTTTAATGATTTTTCCTGGTTTTTTTTAAGACTTTTCCCTCTTTTTTTTTAGATTTTCCCCATTTTTTTTAAAGGATTTTCCCCATTTTTTTCAGGACTTTTCCCATTTTTTTTTTAGATTTTTCCCTTTTTTTCTTTTAAGGATTTTTCCCATTTTTTAAGGATTTTTCCTGGGTTTTTTTAGGACTTTTCCCACTTTTTTTTTTTAAGGATTTTCCCCATTTTTTTAAGGATTTTCCCCATTTTTTTTTAGGATTTTCCCCATTTTTTTAAGGACTTCCCCAATTTTTTTTTATGATTTTTCCTGGTTTTTTTAGGACTTTCCCCCCTTTTTTTTCTTAAATTTTTCCCATTTTTTTTCAAAGATTTTTCTCATTTTTTTAAGGATTTCTCCCATTTTTTGATGGATTTTTTTCCTTTTTTTTTTTAAGGATTTTTCCCATTTTTTTTAGATTTTTCCCATTTTTTTAAGGATTTTTCCCATTTTTAAATGGATTTTTTTCCTTTTTTTTTTAAGGATTTTTCCTGGGTTTTTTTAGGATTTTCCCCATTTTTTTTGGATTTTCCCCATTTTTTTAGATTTTTCCCATTTTTTTTAGATTTTTCCCATTTTTTAAGATTTTTTCCCATATTTTTTTATGATTTTCCCCATTTTTTTTAGATTTTTCCCATTTTTTAAAATGATTTTCCCATATTTTTTTAGGATTTTCCCCATTTTTTCAGGATCTTTCCCATTTTTTTTTAAGGAAAACAACTCCAAGCTCCAATCCCAGGAATTTTTCCCCTTCCTTTATTAATTCCAGAAATAAAAACCCCAATAAAACCTCAATAAAACCTCAATAAAATCCCAATAAAATCTCAATAAAATCCCAATAAAATCCCCATAAAATCCCCATAAAATCCCGATAAAATCCCAATAAAATCTCGATAAAATCCCAATAAAATCCCAATAAAATCCCGATAAAATCGCTGAAATTCCAGATGTTTTCCAGATGTTTTCCAGATGTTTTCCAGATGTTTTCCAGAGGTTTTTCCCGAGGTTTTCCCGGTTTTTCCCGTCACCTGGAGGCGAGGATTTCCTGGGAAGCCAAGCGGGAAAGGCTCCGGAATTCCAGGGGGAGGAGCCTCCTCCAGAAGCGCCGATCCCGCCCGAAAATCCGGGATGGGAAACGGGGAGAGCCTGAGGGGAGAAATCTGGGATTGGGATCCCAAAAATCCCCAAAAATCCAAAAAATCCAATCCCAAAAATCCCCAAAAAATCCCCAAAATCCCCAAAAAATCCAATCCCAAAAATGCCAAAAAATCCAGTCCCAAAAATCCCAAAAAATCCCCAAAAATCCAATCCCAGAATTCCCAAAAATCCAATCCCAAAAAATCCCCAAAAATCCCCAAAAATCCAATCCCCAAAATCCCAAAAAATCCCCAAATTCCCCAAAAATCCAATCCCAAAAATCCCAAAAAATCCCCAAAATTCCAAAAAATCCAATCCCAAAAATCCCAAAAAATCCATTCCCAAAAATCCCCAAAAATCCCCAAATTCCCAAAAAATCCAATCCCAAAAATCCCCAAATTCCTGAAAAATCCAATCGCAAAAATGCCCAAAAATGCCCAAAAAAATCCAATCCCAAAAATCCCAAAAAATCCCCAAATTCCCAAAAAATCCAATCTCAAAATTCCCTCAGAAAATCCCCAAATTCCCCAAAAACCCCAAAAAATCCCCAAAAATCCAATCCCAAAAATCCCAAAAAATCCCCAAGTTCCCAAAAAATCCCGAAATTCCCCAAAAATCCCAAAAATCCCCAAATTCCTGAAAAATCCCAAAAAGTCCAATCCCAAAAATGCCCAAATCCCCAAAAATCCCAAAAAATCCCCAAATTCCCCCAAAAATTCGATCCCAAAATCCCAAAATTCCCAAAAACTTCCCAACCCCAAAAATCCCCAAATTCCCCAAAAAATTCCCAATCCCAAAAATCCCCAAAAATCCAATCCCAAAAATCCCCAAATTCCCAATTTCCCCCCAAAATCCCCAAATCCCCGAATTCCAAAAAACCCAATCCCCCCAAAATTCCCAAAAAATCCAATCCCCAAAATCCCCAAATTCCCAAAAAATCCCCAAAAAATCCAATCCCAAAAATCCCCCAAAAATCCCCAAATTCCCCAAAAATCCAATCCCAGAATTCCCAAAAAATCCCCAAATTCCCCAAAAATCCAATCCCAAAAATCCCAAAAATCCCCAAATTCCCCAAAAAATCCAATCCCAAAAATGCCAAAAAATCCCCAAAAATCCCATCCCCAAAATCCCCAAATTCCCCCAAAAATCCAATCCCAGAATTCCCCAAAAATCCCATCCCCAAAATCCCCAAAATCCAAAAAAATCCAATCCCAAAAATGCCCAAATTCCCAACAAAACCAATCCCAAAATTCCCTCTGAAAATCCCCAAATTACCCCAAAAATCCCCAAAAAATCCCCAAATTCCCCCAAAAATTCGATCCCAAAATCCCAAAATTCCCCAAAAATCCAATCCCAAAAATGCCCAAATTCCCCCAAAAATCCCAAAAAATCCAATCCCAAAAATTCCCAAAATTCCCCCAAAAATCCAATCCCAGAATTCCCAAAAAATCCAATCCCAAAAATCCCAAAAAGTCCCCAAATTCCCCAAAAATCCAATCCCAAAAATCCCAAAAAATCCAATCCCAAAAATCCCCAAAAAATCCCCAAATTCCCCAAAAAAATCCAATCCCAAAAATCCCAAAAAATCCCCAAATTCCCCAAAAATCCCAAAAATCCCCAAATTCCTGAAAAATCCCAAAAAGTCCAATCCCAAAAATGCCCAAATCCCCAAAATTCCCAAAAAATCCCCAAATTCCCCCAAAAATTCGATCCCAAAATCCCAAATTCCCCAAAAAATCCAATCCCAAAAATCCCAAAAAATCCAATCCCAAAAATCCCCAAATTCCTGAAAAATCCCATCGCAAAAA